TAAATGCCTAAATAATAGTTCTTATAACACTTGCAGCCGAAAGAAAAGCCCGTAATAGGCAGATTTAGCTCCTACATAAAGTATCTTTAAGCAAGTTGTTCTGAAATAGCTGGAGAGATATCTAAAATAGTTTGACTGGGAACCAGATCGATTGCTCTGTACCTCAATAATTCTAATAATTGTTAGAATTTAGGATGCTGTTAGAAACAATCTCCTCTAGTAAACCCCGCACCAACCGCCGGAAATATTGTCAAAGTATGCAGCGCTGTTAAGGCAATATATTGAACACTGTTGTTTGCATAGATTAAAATAAGGTAAGGTATTTCTATAAAGAAAGGTTTGGCAACGTTTCACAGGTCAGTTGTAAGTGATGTTTAATGTTGAAGACTAGAATGTAAAACTGAAAATAAATAGAATATGATACCATCATGTTGTAGAGAGGGAGATCGCCTTTGCGTAGGGGTCTTTAGCACTGGGAGGAAACCGGAGAATCCCCACGTGGTCAGACAGGTATCTCTACACCTTGTCTCCTTATTTGTATTTCAATAATTCACTTGATCTTATGTCTTATCCTTTGGGGGGGGGGGGGTCGACAACCGAATTCCTTGTCACGTACAAGCAGGGAATTGATCCACGTCCCTTCACTCAATGACAGACCGTATAATCTAAAGCCCGCGCCTTCGTCCAACCAGTCACCCAAACGTCCAATAGTGAACTAGGATCAGCTGTATGATTAAACAAGTGTTGAAATCAGTTTGTGTCGGCATACCTTTAATCTTTTTATGTTTACTGTGCAACAAATTAGTGCAGTATTACGGTTGTGTTAATACTTTTCACACTATCTTTTCTCTCACTTTAGAACATATGGTGGCGAGAGTTGCCGTAAAGACAACACGACGAAAAAGGCGACGATCGGTGACTTTTTCGTCGTACTGGCTTAACGGCACATCGGAACTTTCACAACAGGAGATTCGCCGTTAAGATAACACGACGAAGAGGTGGCCTAAAAAGGCGCGATTACGTTACGATATAGGCGCCTGTTTCGTCGCTCTGGCTTAACGGCGACTATCGTCTCGGAAGTTCAAAGATAGTTACATTCGTAATGACTACTTTCATATTAAAACTTCTTGTTATAAAATCAGAAAGCAGGAGATTATGGATGAATTAAAATGTATCGTATTACAGGCACTTGCACTTTCAAACCTTTCAAAACCTGAAAGCAGCCATTGCGCATGTAACTAACATTCAACTTCCAATACGAGTGTTTTGTGAAAGTCGCGGTTCGCCGTTAAGCCAGTACGACGACAAAGTCCCCGATCGTCGCCATTTCCGTCGTACTGGCTCCCCGATCGTCGCCATTTCCGTCGTACTGGCTTAACGGCGACTATCGCGTTGTATCTAAAAACACGACGATCTAAATGGACGCTTTCAGCCGTCATAAAAACACGAGATAATTATCCAAAATATAGGTCTTAGACTAAAACTATATATTTCATCTGTCATAGTCTAAAATCTATATTTTGGATAATTATCTCGTGGTTTGAAGTTAGAGGAAAGATAGGTTGGTTTAACGACAATTTAACGGCATTTTGTCATTTTGTCACATACACGTCACAATATTTGACGAGAGAATGAATGGCTCGAGGAAGCACTCCCAAAAAATCCCCCAAATTTAATAGGCTACCTTACTCCTTCTCTTGTTCAATTGTTGATTCAAAACGGAGCGTATTTTGTGAACTGGTTGGAAAAATTCATCCCTAGAAACCATTACCAATCGTCGATTTAAACTAGGCTTATTTTGAGGGTGGTAATTGGTCGACCAAAATCATCCCAAGAGAGAGAGAGAGAGAGAGAGAGAGGGGGGGTTAACGTCCACTCGACACAAACTAGTTCATTTCGGGACTAACATATTGGTTCAATTTTATGTCAATAATTCGCTTGCGCGTAAGGGTCTTTAGCAGTCGGAGAAAACCGGAGGAACCGGAGAAAACCCACGAGGTTGGACAGGCGATCCTACTCAGTGTCACGAACAACCGAGGAATCGAAACCACGCCAGTTGACTCCATGACAGACGTTATGATGCAGCGCGCACGCGCTAACCTTTCGACCATTCAACCCCTCAAATTCATCTCTAGAAACCATTACCAAATTTCGTAGATTCAAACAGAAGTATAATTAATTGGCACTAGTTGATGAAGGGCTGTATCCCGAAACGCGTCCTGGATTAAACCACTTTACTTTATACAGTCTTGCCAAGTTTGTTGCTAGGGGATTAATTTATTTGGATTAGAGGGCGGTAAGTTTGTTGGGCAAATTCGTCGCAAAATGATGATTGGTCAAGAAAATTCATTTCTACAAGCAGTTACCAATCGATGTCAATGAGAGAAACTCATATCCACCACTACTCAAAACTACAAACCCATAATCCGCGCATGATTTGGTCATTTACATAAAATTAATTGGCAATAAGCAAATGTATTTTTTTATGGTTTTATATCCTTCAAAACAAAGCCATTAATTTGTTCGCTACAGGAGAAATGCCTCATTATTTCAAGGTCTCCGGTAATTATAATATTAATGTATGATAATTTCATCAGGATTTTCCGGAGGGATTTTCTTGATAATTATTTTAATGTACAATATTTGTTATCAATACATCCCTTGGGGAATATAAAAAAACTAATATCCTAAACTCTGTCCATTACTTCAGCACATCTTTTTTGTGGGTAAGTTTTCTCTTTCCTTGTATAGGGGTTGGGTGGCCGAGTTGTTAATGCGTGCGCGTTTCATCATAAGGTGTGTCATTCAGTCAAGTGGCGTGGTTTCGATTCCCCACTTGTACGTGACAAGGAATAGGGTCGCCTGTCCAACCTCGTGGGTTTTTTCCGGGTCCTCCGGTTTCCTCCCACTGCTAAAGACCCCTGTGCTCGGTGAGTATGACGCTTGCTCGTTAACGAGAAGTTCCTCCCTGGTTTGACCCCTGTAATGTCTGAGATAGTTCTTTGGAAGTTTCCAGTCCGGTGTTCTCCCTTTCAGTCTTGCAGGACGGTGGGTCTGGCGCGGAACAGTAATTAGTTGTTCGAATAGGACGAAAAAGTGAGGTCCCGTGCACACGTCAGCAACTCTTGACAGCCAGAATTCACCGAAGAGTAGACGAAACGGCCGCTTCCAGGGGAACATATGCCTCAAAGCACACGTTAAATCACGTCACATTTCATTTTTATCAATTTCGCAAGACCGCTCTCGTGAAACAAATTTGTAAGTTAACAATTTCTTGTGCACATTTGTTTCAAATTTATTAGTGTTGTCCTATATAAACCACTGCTCGTCATTTGCATAAAATGTACTCATTTTGATCATATTTAACAGTAAGAAAACAAAATCAAAACATCAACGGTAGATAATCTTCCGGTTCAATCCGATAGGTGGCGTCGGCTTGTTTTGACCATATCAGGTTTATGTCGTCAGCAGAGAATGCCGAATGTCGACAAATGTTCAATTAATCATATCTGTGTAAATACTGAACGGCATTGAACCATACTTGGATTGACATTCCTTTTAGATATTCTACTTTCACAATATTGTAGTTTGTAAAGGATTCCAAATCCACCATTATGACGATCTGCGGCTTTAAAATGACCTTAACAAAATTCGACCAGAATTTGAAAGCATTTGTTTAAACTCTGAAGCATGCATATTTTTCATCAGTATCCTCTAATCGAGTCCGTTCATGTCGATATCTTGGCAGAATTTTTCTTATTTCTAGCTCTAGCCACAAAACATATTTTGGAGTTGTTTCGTTTAACACAAATCTTTACCCACTATGTATATTATCTGCAGCGATTGATTTCGTCCTTATTTCTGACAATTGTTTTTATATATCTTTATATTAAGCCAAATCTTTACCCACTATGCATATTAATTGCAACGATTGATATTGTTCTTATTTCTGACAAAAAAAACAACATTTTTATATCTTTATTTTAAGAGCAATATTTACCCACTATGCGTATTAACTGCAACAATTAATATCGTCCTTTTTAAATCTTTATATTAACCCAATTTTTTTTACCCACTATGCATATTAATTGCAACGATTGATATTGTTCTTATTTCTGACAAAAAAATAAATTATTATATCTTTATTTTAAGAGAAATCTTTACCCACTTTACCCACTAACTGCAACGATTAATATCGTTCTTATTTCTGACAAAAAAACATTTAAAATCTTTATATTAACCCACAATTTTACCCACTATGCATATTAATTGCAACGATTGATATCGTTCTTATTTCTTACAAAAAAAACCAAACAAACAAAACATTCTTATATCTTTATTTTAAGAGAAATCTTTGCCCGCTATACAGATTATCTGACCCGTTTCTTCTGTAGACAAATAGTTAAACTGAAGCATGCATACTTTTCTTTAATCATTATCCCCAATACGAACACGTTTATATCGATATCTATCTTTTTTCTCCGAAAAATATATTTTTTTTGTTATCTTTGTATTTTAAAAAAATTTATATCCATTATATAGATTATCTGCAACATGTGATATTTTAACAGCATTTTTCTTAATTCTGACAACAAAAAAACCCACCAATCTCTTTTTAAGAGAATACCACTGCAACAGTTAATGATACATTTCTTATTTCTGACAAAAAACACGTTTTTTTGTCTTTTTTGAAAGAGACATTTTTTTCCACTATGCACATTTACCGCAACAACTGACATCTTTACAGTTTTTTGCTTATTTCTGACAAAAAAAGAGAATTCTTCACCCTCTATGCAGATTAACTGCAACAATTGATATCGATGACTTCTCCAGGTAAATAGATAAACTATACCTCACCTGTGATACCTGTCTATAGGTTCGACGATTCAACTCGGCGGGAGGTATGTGGCCCAAAATAAACATACTGGATTAACTATTTACCTTAGAGAAACACACAGCCAATAGGATTAAACGACTTGAAAAAGACAAGAGTTTCAAGCCCGAGAGAAAGGGGGGGAGACAATGTTGACAACATTCTTATATCAAGTAGCTCACCTGTAAATCGGCTCACAATGAATAAATCATTTGTGTAAAAGTGTTTGTTAACCGTTGGTTGTGGACACGATTGTTTGTCCATCTGTCTGGTGACCAGTGTTTCATTTCAACTCAACAAAATAAAACCCATAACTCGTCAAATTCACCGGTAAGCTTATTCTCTTATTCATTTTTGATTGAATCCTACTTTTGTTTATTTGTTATCTACTTCGTTGCTTTTCGCACTTAACTTTTATAAAGTAGTACTCTCCATTTCAATGGAACACTTGATATCACTTCTCAATTTAAAGCCTAATTGTTCCTGTTTGTTCGCATTTATTGTGTGTTGGCTATTTCATATATCCCCATCTTCATTAGCCAAATTGGTTCAGAAAATAGGACGTTAAACCGCATTTCATTTATTTAATATATCGTTTTTAACGGGATATGGTCAAAACAAGCCAACGCCACCTATCTGATTAAGCCGGGAGATAATCTCCATTTGATGTCTTTGTTTTCTTAATTAAATGTTAAAAAATCAAAATGAGTACATTTTAGCGTGGATTAAGTCGTGACAAACTATAAAAATGATCACCAATTGCTGTAGATCATAAACCCGTAGTGCTCAAGGAGAAAGAGGGTCGCCTGTTCAACATCGTGGGTTTTCACCGGGTCCTCCAACTTTCTCAACTGCTTGCACGTAGGGGTCTTTAGCAGGTTAGTCCCGCAAAGACGTAGTTTGTGCCGAGTGGATGCTAACACCCACCCTCTCTCTCTCGATTTCCCGCTTGTACGCGACAAGGAGTGGGGTTGCCTTTCGGACTTCATGGGTGTTCTCCGTGTCCTTTGGTTTCTTCCTACTGCTAAAAATCCTTACGCGCATGCGAATTATTGAAATATAATTGAAATATACGTTATTCCGAAATGACCTAGTCTGCGTCGAGGGAACTTTACGCCCCCCCCCCTCTCTCTCTCTCTCTCGACCACGTTGTTCGCCGAGAAAGTTCCTCGGAGTTTTCAGTTATACAGGACGTAGGTAATGACAAGGGACTGTGTCTAGTTGCTCGGATAGTACAAAAACAGTAAGGACACCTTGTTTGCATAACACAAGTCATTTCCACACCTTTATTGAAGACTTATTTTAGGTGTGAATTTTCTTTTTAGTTTGCATCATGACTAAAATTAAAGGCTTATTCCGACAAACGTCAAGCCCGCACACTTTCAAATGTATTTGTGAGGTCGGTTAAAACAAATATGGAATTAGTCGATATGTACTGAACTGATTTGGTTCGGTGAATTCTTCATTCCGCTGAAACTGATCATTGACAATAATAAATTGAAATAGTCCAGGACAATCGTGATCTTGTAAGAACAAATGAAGAACATGTTTAGTGATATTTTTTAAATATAAAACTAGATGAATACAGACCAATTATTTCTTTATTTCAATAGGGCAAAACATTAAATTGGCCCCCTTTACAAGGGTGCAAAATGTTAAAGCTAATTTCATTTAATTTCTTTGAAAAGCGTAAAACATAAACCCTTTGATTCAGTTGCATTTGAAGAGCCCCGGGAAAGAACGATCTAAGTCACTTTTTCAACGAACCTCAGTTAATGGCGCCATCTGGTAGCAAATTGTATAAGCTTTCTGTGGAACAATCAATTATCAGGTGAAAACGATCGGAGTCACATAGAACCAGGGCCCTTCTGAAATGCCCACCGGACAAACACAAGTCCATCGTATTTATTTAACCTTAATTTGGCTGAAAAGTGGAAGTCTGTTGTTGTACTGGTTATTATGATTCGTATTAAACATCATTTTGAAGATGTAATTAAACCCATTCGTTGTTCTGTTCGCGTCAAGCATTCTCGTCCAAAATTCTGTTTTGCCTTTAATGCAAAATGACAAAAATGTGACTTAGATCGTTTTTCCCCTGGACTCTTCATTTTGTTTTGAGAGATGAAGGTCAATCTTCTTCTAAAATTTGATATCCGTAGATATAGTCAATTTTGAGATATAGCTACATACGTGGTCACCAATAGCACCTTTAAGCTAATAAATAAAAATAAAATTAGTAAACAAACCCTCGTCCCATTAATCTTCCGAAACGAATTTTCAATCGTACAGACTATAAAGAAATAATTAACACGTCTAAACAAGACAATTCAGCATTTTATCTGGATCAAAGAGATTGATTTACATTAAGTTATTAATGGAACCTTCTGGTTAAATGTTTAAATAAATAAAGTATTATGTCAGGGATATGTATTTCTATGGATGTCATGACGGTAAACCCAGACTGTTTAAAGCCCCATAAATACCCAATATAATATTCATTATTTTATCAAATTCTCTGATTTATATCGCGTATATGACCAGACCAGTTTATCAGCCTATATTTATATATTCTAAATATGATCACGGTGGCTCAGACCAATATAACAGCCTGTATACATTCTAATAATGGTCACGGTGGGTAGGGCGCTAATTCACACCAGTGCCGGATTTATCTGTAGGCTTGGCCTCCTGATCTAGGGGACCTCATTTCATCTAAATCTGGCTCTGCTAGTTAAAGATACATTATGGGAGATTTTTTATAGAGAGTTGGCCATTCTTGCTATAACAGTTCAAAAGTAGATGATAAAAGAAGAATATATTGAAAATTTCAGTCAAATTACTTTATTCTGAACATAGTTATTATCATCGTTGTAATATTTGACTAGAAATGGTACTGAAATGTGCCTTCACCTTGGCCGATCGTTTGATTGACAGGCGTTAACTCCACCTACATATCTCGATTATCAAGTAAAGTTTTCAATGGCATGCGGAAACGCTCTACAGCGGCCTCGCTAAGTACTCTCTATCATTTAGCCATCCGTGGGTCTACAGAGTTGATTTTGGGCTTGTTGTTTAAATAAAGATCTAATTTATAATTTCTTTGACATCTGAAGCCTAAATTAAGACTTGCAATAATCAGATTTTGCTCTTGCATAATGTATGTTTAAGTAACCAGGAGTTCATTGGTTCGATCTCCGTGTTGGTCGACAGACTTCCTCGGGATCTGTCAAGTAACGGCGTATTGTCGTCCGGATGAGAAAGTGTCTAGGCAAATTACCCCCCCCCCCCCGCATTGCACGCGTAACCACTGAAATGACAGTAAGTCGCAAAATGACCGATGTATTGCGTTGGAGAGACGCTAAACGCCATTCCATTCATATAATTACATAGAATATCAGCGGATCAAATTCGTATCACCTGTCAAGACACAACATATTACTCTCAACCTTGTCTATTCACGTATTATTACTCCCAACCTTAACTATTCACGACATATTACTCCCGACATAGGCATGTATCTAGTTTGTATATTCACGACATATTACTCTCGACCTATTATGTGTTTATCTAGTTTGTATATTCACGACATATTACTCTCGACCTATTATGTGTGTATGTAGTTTGTATATTCACGACATATTACTCTCGACCTTGTCATGTATCTAGTTTGTATTTTCACGACATATTACTCTCGACCCTGTCATGTATCTAGTTTGTATATTCACGACACATTACCCCCGACATAGGCATGTATCTAGTTTGTATATTCACTACATATTACTCTCGACCTAGGCATGTATCTAGTTTGTATATTCACGACATAGTACTCTCGGCCTAAGCATGTATCTAGTTTGTATATTCAAATATGTCGACCGCCTTCAATTTGATCATAGCGATACCGGTTTTCTTAAAGCGGTAAGAAAGTCTGATTTAAATCCGGAATAAGTCTGAACAAACAAGAATAATTTGAACATATTTTTAAGCTCTGGTATCTTCCATATTCTTGAATAATGCATATTGTTCATTTGTCTATAGAGGAATGCTCACTAGTCCGCGGGTTCATTAATCAACCGATATCTATTATTCGGGTTAGGGTTAGGGTTGAGTTAGGGTTCATTAGTCTACCAATATCTATTATTAGGGTTAGGTTTATTGATACCCATATTTATAGTATTTCTTATAGCGGAGGACTAGTGAACCCTATAACGTCACCTTTTCACTGTAAATAAACGCTGTTCTGGTAGACAACTACATTGGGTTTCTAAGATTCAATACCCCCCCCCCCTCTCCCACCCCCTCTCTCTCTCTCGTTTTGCGATAAGAGAACACATATCGAAATGTCGTGCCGTACGCCTAATACCTGACGGTGTGCCTTTAATGTCATGTTAAACCCGCTAATTAGACAGACACCTGAAGGATTTGAAACATGTCGACATAAATTGATAGTAAATGAAATGAAAACAAATCGGGCTTTAGACAAATAATATAAATTGATATCTATATCGATACAATCTGCACGTGAAGGGTAAATTGGTTCCGTTCATTGAATTTCATGCTGTCGATGATACGTTACACCGTGACCCCCGTGACCTTGTATAATGAACAAAATAACTAAAGAACGGGTCGCCTTTGTTTATGTTCGTGCTTAAATTTACTTTCACGTTTAAAAAAAATCAATTTTTAGAAAAACAGACTAGTCTCTAATAATGAGTCTTTTAAAATATGAAGAAGCGGTAACGCTTGGGAAATGAAATGAATTGGGGTTTAACGTCCTACTGTTCAATGGGATAATGAATTGAAATGGAGTTTAACGTCCTACTGCTCTGCCCCGATCTGGGCTAATGAAGACGGGCATACGCCATACACTGTGCTATGAGGGAAATTTTGCCCGGCCAGCGGCACTCCGGCTTACTCTTATATCGAATTCCAACTGTCAAGGGATCTTTTACGTGCACGCCAATGTGTACACGGGGCATCAGTTTTTCGTACCATCCGAATGACTAGACAATTGTCCTTGTCAGGCCCCCCGTCCTGTATCACCGACAAGGGGGGAACCACTCCGGAAAATCAGGATGCACTTTCCCGGCGAATGCAGGGATCGAACACCCGACCTCCAGGCTAGCGAGCCAGCGTCTTACCCACTTAGTCACTGGGCTAATAAAGACGGGATATCGCTTGTATGATATATTTTGTACGAAATTAAATTGAATGGGGTTTAACGTCCTACTTCTCTGCACCAACCGGGATATGAGAGAAAATTTTATCCTGACAACGATTTCCAGCTTAATTTAACTGTACGACAACGAGACCCCCCGCCCCCCTCTTCTCCCCCCCCCCCCAACAAAAACTGGGAATAAAACAGTGGAATTAGTCTTTTGTCGTTGAGGTAAGCATGTCCGAGAGCCATGGTTACCCGATCTGTATGGCTGTACCTTGCATTGGGCGAGAAAGTTCCTCGAGATTTTCCCGACTGCTTTCTCTTCCTCTGTCAGCGGTGCAGGGCGATTTGGTACCGGTTAATCGTTTAGTCTTTTAGGTGGTACGAGAAACCAGTGCTGTTCACGGTAAAGAAATAATACCGTGCAGTTGGAATTCGATCAAGTGTAGGCAGATAAGCTGCTGTCCGATGAAAAGTAACACACTGCCCGTCTTCATTAGCCCAGTTGGTTCAGAACAGTTAGCTTTTAAACCCCATTTCATTAGAATTTCATGACCATAATTGCATTCTTTTATGTACGTAAATCTGCGCCATTTACATAAAGTCAATGACGTCCACTCGACACAAACTAGGTCATTTCGGGACTAACATATGGTTTATTTTTATTTCAATAATTCGCTTGCGCATAGGGGGCTTTAGCAGTGGGAGGACCCGGAGAAAACCCACGAGGTTGGACAGGCAACCCTACTCCTTGTCACGTACAACCTGAGATTCGAAACCACGCCAGTCGACTCAATGACTTTATGATACAGCGCGCGCACGCTAACCATTCAGCCATCCAACCCCCCTACACTAGACGGGATATTCTAACTCTTTTGAAGTGACATCAGGTGTTCTAGAAAATTATTCTATCTTGAGGCACATAATACATTATAACTACTCAAAATCATAACCCCAAAGATTATTTTGTACCCATTTTCCACACCTTTTTGGCTACGTTAAACACAACAAATTAAAGAAGTCTATTTGATCAAGACTACTGTGACAACGTTTGGTCAGTTTATTTACTTTATGTCTCAAAGGAACAAATTGGAGATTTAACCGAGTCTACAAAGAAAAAGTCAAGTCTAAATAGCCGAGAAAGAGGTTTAAGGCCCATGACAGAGGGGGAAGATATCACCATAGGTGGAGGCGGACTTGAACCTTGGCTAAAAGAGGAGAGGAGAGAAGAAAGGATAAATGAAATGGGCAAATTAAAGGAGTAGAGGAAATACTAGGACAACAATATACCTGTTCAACACAAAGATAATGACGCTGCGTGAAGTTTAGAAATCAACGAGAAGTTGTATCAGATGTTCTAGGTGAAAAAGAATAGTCTGTCTCGTGCACTAGATACGTTCCTTTACTCCGTTACATTGTGAAATGTGTTTTACGACTAACATTGATACGATTGGCTGTTTATCGTACTAATCAAAGAGCAAATTATATTCTTTTTGCTATAATAAATGTGTCCTAGGTAACAAACTATTTCCTGCAGTGGTTTTTTTTTATCTCCCTTACCCTGTTGACTGCGATACGATTATTACAGTGTTTAAACTCCTGTCTTGCTGACCGTGATAGGATGATTACAGTGCCCTGTGTTCTATGTAACAAAAGTTACGATACAGTGTTTATAGTCCTGTCTTGCTGACCGTGAGATTGGTATAGTGTCCTGTGTGGCAAGGTGTTTATCACCTTGTCTTGTGGACTGTGATATGATTTAAGTTCAACAAGTACTGGACCATTCAGTTTTCGGTGGTTTGTGATTAACATGCGAATAATAAAATATGGATCACAGTATAATCAAAGTGTGAATTCTGAATAATAATAAACAAGCAATGTAAAGAAAATGTGACCTAATCTGGAAATCTGAATATTGTGTTCTCATCATGGATCCTGGTTTGACGATGGTGATGTGTGCTGTGTTGTTGACGAAGATGGTGACCATTGCAGAGTTCAATGAAACAGGTAATGCCAATGTCTTTAAACGCAACATCTCTAAAATATAATTATTTATTTCAAGCAACCCCCCCCCCCCTTCCCCATCCCACCCCTCCATTTCAACTAACGAACTACGCTTGAGGCTTGAGAACAGACACGTAGCTAGTTGATCGACATTTTAATTCCTACATTGATGATTTTAGTAATGTCTATTTAGTCTTTTCGGCTATGAAAGATGTAAAACGGATCAGAAACAGAACAGTATAATATATTTGAATATGGCGGCAATTCAGGACACAGATCACTTCTCAAAGTAGATAGTTCTCTGTTTGCCGATTGATCTCCATTCCTGTTAGTCTCGGACACCAAACACGTCCTAGTCTCCAACGTACGGAGTATCTGGACCATTGATCCTCATTTTAAGAAAGTTTACTGGATAATTAACCACATAAAAAAATCGTCTGGTTAAGCAGAGCAATGGAACTTTATAGCTAAAGTCAAGAAAGAGTAGCGCTCCTTCCCGAAATAAATCCCATAATTCATGCATTATTATAAACAAACAACAATCGTGATCCTGGATATTAAACAGGCAATGCAAATATATTTTTCTACAATGACAATAAAATAAAACCCAAGTACGAACAATCCATACCATTAGACAAAATTCAAAGTCCTAAAAAAACAGTATAGGCAAAATAGTGTAATCAGCATATGGACTGTTCACCGTGTACAATTCTTACATTATTTCATTGGCGTTGACCGCTCGTTTTAGGACTATTTACCTCCCTTATTACACTCTCTGACTGAAAAAAGTAGATTTTGTACATGATAACGTAAAAGACCGGATAATCTGGCCAATGAGCTATTTATTCTCAAATGTTGACAACCCAGTCAGTGCAGAAAAGTAGGACCTTAAACCCCATTTCATTTCTGATTAAACATTAATAATGTTAATATATTCTGTCGCAAAAACAAAATATTTATCTACAACAAGTAATTTAAATTTTTCAATTACTAGGAGTTTTAATCACCATATTTTAAGCCAATACCACGTGGCTAAATGATATTATAATTATCATTTATTGGTCTGCGTTCACAAAAATAATGACTCTGTACACGGAATTCTATTCTTTATGAAGGTTTTGTTTTTCATCTTCGAATTCTTTGAATCGGATTCCAATAACTAAGTTGACTGATAGTGGCACGTAATCAACCACTAGACCATCGGATGGTTGTGATTTTGAACGGATTGAAACAAGATCCACATTTAATAATTTAATTTAAAAATGGATAATCTAGACTTTGAGTATTATAGTAACAACGGTAGCAATGACAATGGAGACAATACAATATTCTTCACATATTCACAACTTGTTCTCCACATAAAAGAAATCAACCCATTCCCTATTCTTTCGTTTCCGACGTGGTTTCCCCTTGTCAGTGGTGCAGAACAGAGGGCCTGGCAAGGACAGCTGTCTAGTCCTTCGGATGAGACGAAAAACCGAGGTCCCGTGTATACATTGGAATGCACGTAAAAGATCCCTTGGCAGTTGGAATTCGATATAAGAGTAGGCGATGGTGCCGCTGCCCGGGCAAAATTTCCCTCATAGCACACTGTATGGCGTATGCCCGTCTTCATTAGCCCAGTATAGGAGCAGAACAGTAGGACGTTAAACCCCATTTCATTTCATTTCATTTCATTTCCAATTCTATCGTGCAATAAATGTGATCAATATTTATAAAGTTTGAACTACAATTTAACGAAACGAAATAAGATCTGTGTTTTAATCAGATTATTAGTTCCCTGTAATTATCAATTTTAAAACAAATGATGAAATAATTACTCGTTAAAAATCGATTATGAGTGTATTCTTCCTGTTTTAATACGGTTCCCGTCGGCTTATTTTAATGATATTATTAAATAAAATTATGTACGAGCTAAACCTGCCCATTGCATGTCATTTTTCTGGCTTCAAATGTATACATTATTATTTATTATAAACAACTTTCTGGGCTATCAGATGGCCGGGATATTAAATAAATTAGAACAATCACGCCATTTAATAATTTAACGTTAAAGTGGATAATCGAGAAAATATTGTTCATTATCGTAGCAAGTGTACTAGTCAATCGAGACTATATGCACTACATAATGTCAAAACGTCAAACATTCATAATGTCGCTCAGAATAAAGTAATTTGACTGAAATGTTGAATATATTCCTTTTTCATTATCTACTTTTAAACTCTTATAGAGAGAACTGCCAGCTCTTTATCTAAATCTTACATAAGGTATTTTTAATTAAATGTTAACTAATCAATCTGATTACATTATCGTTTATTAAGCCGTGAGAAATTTGATATTTTCCGAAAAATGCGCATCACGCACAGTCACTTTAAGTAGCTTGACTTCATCCATATCATCATATCATCAGTTCTCCGTCACTGATTTTTAATATCAAAATTCAATTCACCCGTCGTTTCGTTGCTGGTTTTATTGGTTACAGTTTTTAAGTTAATTTTCTTGTGTCCTCTATTATTACATAATGGCATAGTAGAAAACCAATATGGCGGTTAATAACCTGTAGGCGTGACGTCAAGCTGGTCCTTGATGATAACAATGTCATAACTTATTCAGTATTCGTTCGTGATAACCCGAGTACAAGGACACGGGACTGTATGTATATGTCACCACTGCACATCACTTGTCTTGAGGTTATAATTTATAGAAATAACAATTCATACACAAAATCTATTATAGTGAATCAAGGATTATTTTGAGTTTTATTTTGTGGGTGCTTCATGGCAGAAAAATAAGATTGTCTTTTTAATTTGTTTATTTATATAGTGATAAGGTAATGGTAATTAATTACTTTCAATGTAATGGATAATGGTAACTAATTACATTGCTAAAAATAAGAAAGTAATTGTAATGATTACATTTAAAAAGCAATGGTAATGTAATTATTTACATTGACAATGCAATGGGCCTAGTCCTGGTATGTAACTGATTCCCTGTAGATGTCGTTTATAATGGAATGAGGTTAAACGTCTCTTCAAGGCTTTATCAAGGTAATTTATTGGCTTGGTTCCAGGGACAAGGCTGCCCAGAGAGCGACTGTCAAAAGTTTTTTTTATTGTGTAAACCAGCGTGAATACGCGTGGACCTTAGTTCTTCATCGCATCTGGACAACTATGAATGAATGAATGAATGAATGAATTTTATGTCCAACAATTACGCACCAACCGGGCTATGTGGGAAATTTGGCCCCACAGAGGTGTTTCCGCCTACTCTTCATTGAATTCCAACTGTCAAGGCTTATTTTACGTACAAACACGGACCTCGGTTTTTCGTTTCGGACGATTACAATAAAACCAAAATAGCTATGTTAACCCCGGACATGGAAAATAGTATCAGACGGTCTTCGAATAGATGGACTTTAATTTTGTTTTGACAAATATATTACTTTAATCGAGTATCTTAAAGGAGCTAAATCGCTAATATTTTGGACCTAGAAATTGGCACAAATGAGTTGCAACACACATAATAATGTAATATGAATCTATATAAACTGTTTTACATTTAATCGTGTCCGTTTTACTGTGAATTGTCATCAGTTATGTTCGGCGAAATACGCCAGAAGTCTCAACCGCAAGTCAGTTTCTAGCGTCTGGTTATTCCAGTCAACACCTTTTTTGAGCACCTTGTTACAAATGGTGTTGAAACGCATTATGGTACACGATTCGTGTACCAATGGTGAAATGTTTATTTTGTCTTCATTATTGGATATCAGAAGCCCATCTTTTCCAGGTAAGATCACAACACCAATGGTGATTTAAATTGCAAAAAAAAATCGTGTTTTCAATGTCGAAGATTTTGGATGATATTGAGTTACGGACTTAGCTACTTTAAACCCTGTATCACTTAATTTAACGCTGAGTAGTATAATTCATCGGAAACCAGTTCTCCGTAAAAAAAAATCGATCAATTTGCGGTGGCTTAAACAGTTCCACAATAAAGCAAAAAAAAAAAAAAAAAAAAAAGAATGAAATAAAACATTTCATTGGAAATAAAAGTGTAACTTGTTGATCAGGTTGCTGGTGTGTGAAACTTGATGATCATCATACGTATCAGGAAGTAGTCTCGGTTAATTAATTTGCTGTTTATAAAGGACATACAAAGGTAATAATAATTACCCAGCCTGCTAATAACATTACAGTTAATTAAACACCAAATGTTAGGTTTAGATACAACTCAGTGAATCTTCTCGCAGCTTAAAATACTTTCATTGATTCGGGAAGACGAGGAGATGGTATTGAACGGACGACCCCAACAGTGGCCGATCCAGGTCAGGGCCCTAGGTTCCCGCCCTTCTAAATAACAGTAGGATATACTTATTCGATATGATGTTTCTCTGAACGTGTAAATTTGAGTTTTGTGTATAATATATATATATGATATATATATGTTGGGATGGTGTATCTAATGCAAACAGAATGTTATATTAGAACCCAGATATGCGCCACAAATCACCAGTGACACCCCTAGCCGCAAATCCAGCGTACGCCACGGAGTCCCAGATCTCACAGAACGCAGGATATTTTGTATTTTGATATGTACAGAAAAGTCACTCTAAAGTTTGGAGAATCCCACACAAATGACGTCATAAGTTAGGATTTCTCTTTACAGCACGGAGCGGGCCGTACTTCTGACTATTCTACAACTAATTCCAACTGCCCCGGTTCTTCTACATACTAGTATCCGCAAAATCTGATTAAAGATCGATTGTCTAATCCGTCCGCCATATTTGGTCACACGGCGTAGTAATTTTAACAGGCAGTAGGCTTTTATTCCGTTTCAATGAGTTTTTCAATCGCGAGGAAAATGTTCTCTTCATTCACGTGGAAAATTGAACGACTTTTGAGAACCGTCCTCGAACAAAGATCTAAGTGAAATTAATTTCAAGTCAGTCATCACCTACTACGATCGCTCAGTAATGAAAAGTCGTCATAAAGGTGACGAAAGTGTAGAGAAAACTGAATTAATAAATTGTATTTGTCGCGTGATTTGGGACGAAGGGGGTTAAAACGGGTCAGAATCTATCTCTTGGGATTCAAATAGCTACCACCGACAAAAATAATAGGATTTCGCCATCTTTGCTGGTTTTATGATGGCGGCTGATTATTGCCAGGGTGTCATTTCTAACGTTTTACTAATATCCCAGCAACACTAAAAAAAGAAAACTTCTCTCTTTTAACTAAATTGAAATGAGAATATTTGATTTGTCCCAAAGGAGAAATAACTAAATGGAAATCGTTGGTAATTCATAGATACTGATTACACGGAGTAAAGAAATGAAATGAGGTTGACCACCTCGCCAATACACCATTTCAGATGTTATTGTATATAAATGAGAATGAGTGGATTATTTTATGGGAGAGAGAGAGAGGAGAGAAATTGGGTTTAACGTCCATTCGACACAAACTAGGTCATTTCGGGACTAACATATGGTTTAATTTTATTTCAATAATTCGCTTGCGCGTAGGGGTCTTTAGCAGTGGGAGGAAACCCGAGGACCCGGAGAAAACCCACGAGGTTGGACAGGCAACCCTACTCCTTGTCACGTACAACCGGGGATTCGAAACCCCTCCAGTTGGCTCAATGACAGGCCTCATAATACAGCTCGCGCGTGCTAACCATGCGGCCATCCAACCCCCCATGGTAGAATGGATGAAAGAATGTGGTGTGTTAACATCCTACTGCTCTGCACCGAGCGTGCTATGAGGGCAATTTTGACGGGACAGCTATTGAATTCCAAATATCAAGAGTTCTGTTACGAGCACACAGGCGTGTACACGGGACCCCGGTTTTTCGTGCCATCCGAAGGACTATGTGTCGTTCCTTGCCACGCCCTCCGTCATACACTACTGACAATGGAAAAACACAGATGGAAAATCCCCTGGAACAATCTCGGCCAACACCGGGATCGGACCTGGACGTCTTAGTTAGTGTGCCACCGTGGCTTCCCTTTATGGAATCTATACTAATATTTGTGACGTTTGTCTGTCTGTTTGTCTGTCTGTTCGGGGTTGGCGGCTACACTAGGTCTGCCCCGAGTCTGAAATTTGGGGGTATAGGGGTAGCTCGGACCGGGGAGTAACATAGGCCAGGTGGCGTTAGTCTACCACTTCCGGTTTCGGGGTTATGACCCCGAGCGAAGCCGGCCATTCTTCTAGTAATATATAAAAGGAATCGGGGTTAAAGTGTAGTCAGTTGTCAGCGATATCACAATCTGTGGAAGCGGACATAAACACAAGTTTAGTAGTAGTGTCGTTAATGCTTCGGCCATTTGGAGAGTTAGGGATTTTCTTCCCACTATGGTGGAATCATATAAAATCAGAATGGAATCCGGTTTAAATCATTCGGCCATTTTGAGGTAAAGAGGTTTGCAACGTTGAAATGTAGGTCGGACTGTTGCATGTTTAACAGTATATGCTACTTACAGTTTGTGTGTCTCAAGATGTCCATGGTTAGCCTTATGGCCCATGCCTGCTTTTGTTGCTCCATCTGTAGCGAAAGCGATAAACCCCTCGAAAATGTTGGGAAAAGTTAGAACCGACCAAAGTGACGAGAATTACCTTAGACTTAGAGTCAATGGGGAAATTAATGGTGTACTGTGGCCAAATACTTCAAATAATTTGAGAATGGGATGATTCTTTTATCCCGCCTCCTTCCAACTATAATAAGAATCGACCTTGGAGCGCCACGATATGTACCTTTTCACCATGACACAATATTAAAGTCACTGAAATGAAAATGTCATGAGTAGGTTGATATAATATTCCGTCTTCTGTAGTGAAATAATGAATTTGTTTCTAGTGGAAGTTACCCCCCCCCCCTCTCTCTCTCTCTCCAATAATATGGTTGATGGTTCAATATCGTTCATTATTGACAAAGATATAATCGAATTATAAACTAAGCTACATTTTTCAGACGATATAAACAAGCCGGCGTCACATATGTTGGACACATGTTTTTGATGAATCTCTTTTAATCCAATTTGGTCTAAGGAATGAGTTCGTCTACCGCTGTGGCTAAGTGGGTAAGACGCTGGCTCGCTAGCCTGGAGGTCGGGTGTTCGATCCCTGCATTGGCCGAGAAAGTTCATCTAGATTTTCCGGCGTGGTTCCCCCTTGTCAGTGATGCAGGACGGAGGGCCTGACAAGGACAGCGGTTTAGTCCTTCGGATGAGACGAAAAACCTAGGTCCCGTGTATACACTGGAATGCACGTAAAAGATCCCTTGGCAGTTGGAATTCGATATAAGAGTAGGCGATAGTGCCGCTGCCCGGGCCAAAATTTCCCTCATCATACACTGTATGGCGTATGCCCGTCTTCATTAGCCCAGTATAGGAGCAGAACAGTAGGACGTTAAACCACATTTCATTTAATTTCATTTCGTCTACCGTTGATATTAAATAATCAATTAAGATACATTTTAGCATGGATTTAACTGTGTGAAATTATTGTCCGAAAACCACTACTAACGATATACGTTTTTTTAAATAAAAGGTTACGTCTGATGATTCAATTCAAATATAATCCTTTTGATATGCTGATTTATTTTCTAATGGCACCATTTTTCATTTTGTCTGATAGTTTTAATACTAGGACGTGTGATTGTTTTAATTTAATGAGATTTTTTTCTGTTGACCAAAAGTCTAAATACATATAAAAGCAGACATAGACGTGTTGATTGGAGTGTAATTCTCTTACAATCGTGTTTCTAAAGATAATAATTTTCTCTGTTCTCCTGGGTATTATGTAACATAGTTTTATTGTGGTTGTGGAAATGTTGTTAATGGAAACACACTTGTAAATCAGCCAATAAATTGTTTTTCTAGATATAGCAGCATGACCCGGTCATCAAAAGCCAGAGAGAGAGAGAGAGAGAGAGAGAGAGAGAGAGAGAGTGTAGGGGGGGGGGGGGTAACGTCCACTCAACACAAACTATATCAATTCGGGACTAACACAGGGTTCAATTTTATTTCAATAATTGGCTTGCGCGTAGGGTTCTTTAGCTGTGGGGCAAACCGGTGGACCCGGAGAAAACTTACGAGGTCGGACAGGTGACCCTAAACCTTGTCACGTCCGAGTGGGGAATCGAAAGCACATTGACTCAATGACATAGCTTATGATCTAACGCGCACGCGTTAAACCTTTAGGCCACCCAATCACTCCTGCTGGAAATGATATAATGGAATAAGTCTTATTTCTGGTAGGCCCCCACCAACGTAACCCAAACGCTTACAAAGCAGTGGACCTACTTTCACCATCAAAACTAAAAAACTGCGTACAAAAAGTTTCAAATTTTAAAATTAGTCAAACTAATTTTATTTATAATGTAATGTTTCAGATTATGAAGAAGAATTGGATAGTGTTGAACCAGTGTTTCTGAGTTCTGTAGACAATATAACAGTGAGAGAAGGTGGTTTGGCTATTTTACCATGTTCAGTTCAGAACCTCGGCACCAGACAGGTACATGATAGGATATTCTGTGATCTTAAGTATATTGGGTCACGGTGGTTCAGCGAGGTGTTGGTCGAGAAAGTTCCTCGATGCTGTCCAACCTAATAACCCCTTGTCCGTGATGCAGGACGGAGGGCCTGACAGTGAAAGGTATAATAAACGAAATGGCTTCATAACACATTGTGCTGCGGACCCCTGTCTTTAGAATAACCCTATTTTTCTGCACAAATCGGACTATGGAGGAATTATTGCCCGTATAGCGGCGCTACGGCCTACTCTTATTTCGAATTCGAATTTCACGTTTTCTTTTAAGTGCATGCCAACGTCTACAATGTATCTCAGGCCCTACGTCCTGCACCACTGGCAAGGGGAACCACGCTGAAAAATCACGAGGTACGTTCTCCGCCATCACATCGATGGACATGATCCACCATAGCTCCATGTATATGTTAACGCGATCCAATAATTGATCAGGTTATCTCTGATCGTCCTTGATTCTAAACAGAAAGTTGACAGAGAGAGAAATAAGGTTTAAAGTCCACTCGAGACAAACTAAGTCATTTTGGGACTAACGTATGTTTCAGTTTTATTTATTTAATTAATTCGCTCGCATTCGTGTAGGGGTCTTTAGCAGTGGGAGGAAACCAGAGAACCAGGAGTAATCCCACGAGATTGGATAGGCGATCCTACTCTTTGTCACGTACAAGCGGGAAACGAAACCATTTCATTTGACTCAGTGACAGACCTTGTGATCCAACGCCCAAACTAATGCAATTTTTATTTCCATTTTTGAAACAGGTGGCTTGGAGAAGACTGGATAATGATCATTTCTTAACAATTGGAACATTAACATGGGTAAAAGACTTGAACATCCAAGTAGAGCACAGAATACTGGGCGATATATCTATTTGGGACTTGTTAATCAAGCATGTTAGAACCGATCATGAAGGTTTATATGAATGCCAAGTGACATCAGTGAATAGATATGTACGTCACATAGCACTGCACGTGCAAGGTAAGTACATTCAATATCCTTTATGCTATCCATGTCGTTTTACTGTCAGCCCGGACACAACATTATTATGTATAAACTCTCTCAAAATCGAAGCAAGAGTAGCAACGCGGGCAATCAACACCAGCGAGACTTCACCACACGGTCCTGATTAGGTTACTTTAGTTTAGTTGTCATTTGGTCTAGGTAGCATGGAGTGAGAATGGCCCTAATAGACATAGTACCTGTTCCTTTATCTGTGGGAATTTGGGTTGACGAATTTCTTTTCTCGTTTTCCCTTCCCTAAACTATGCTGGACTAGATTATCAAAAGACGACTGGCTATAACCTGTCAAGTTTCTTGAAAAAATCTGTCTGCGAAATGACCTAGTTTGTGTCAAGAGGACGATAACCCTCTCTCTCTCTTTCTCTCTCTCTCTCTCTCTCTCTCTCTGATCGTTTATCAAGCACGCTTTTTTTTCTCGATCGCTAAATGTCACTTAAGCATTATATATGTACATTCCTATACCCACTTTAATCCAGCTATTGTCCATTATCTGAGTAACAAGTTATATAATTTAAATCATAAAAAATTCCGTAATAAAAAATTACGAGTTAAACTGTTTCCGCATCCGGTCTTTTAACACAATACATATAATAAGTTATCTAGTTTTATACATCTATAACTATCATCATATTAAACTTGATATTACTCCCCGCTAATAGGTCAAAATATCTCCAACTTTTTTCTATGTACTTAAAGGTTCAGTTTGTGAAACATATTTCAAATTTCAAAAATTTTCTGCCAACTCTAGTTTAAACAGTTTAGATACCACTTGAACTCTTTGACCCCACGTAGAATTAGCTCCATTAAACATAAACTTTTGCCACGTGTTAGCCAGTTTTCTGACAAAAGTGACTAATTGACAACATAATCGTTTTAAATAATTAACAAAAAACATTTTCAATGTACTTAAAGGGACAGGAGTGTTATACGGTCTGTCATTAAGTCAAGTGCCGTGGTTTCGATTCTGCGCTTGTACGTGACAATGAGTGGGGTTGCCTGTCCAACCTCATGGGTTTTCTTCGCTCCTCCGCCCCCCCCCCCCCCAGGCCCAACTTCTAAGGACGCCTACGCGCAAGAGAATTATTGAAATTAAATGTAACCATGTGTTAGTCCCGAAATGACCTAGCGTGTGTCAAAGTGGACATATACCTTTCTCTCTCTCACTTTAAGCGACGGTACTGTTAGTTTTACTGTCAACTCTGATTAAACGGTTTACATATAAGCATCTGATACCACTTGTTATTTATTTGAAAATTCCTCACATATGTTGTAATTTGCGTCAACGTCTTACTTACTGAACCGAAACAATTTCCAAACTAACAAATTATATGAAAAGGGGTTGGTTATTGGGAGTTTTGCGAACTGGTTTCCGTTAACCTTACCATTGGTTCAGGATAGTTGTTCTGTTGGGACGAAAAGTCTGGGTACCGTGCACGCAGAAGAAGCCTTAGGGATTGGGTCTCGACGAAGAGTAGCGGTTTGTGGCTTGGTCAGTGTTCGCATTTGGAAACTAAATTATTATATTCATCAATCGTACTTACGTTCTAGTCACTTGTGTTTCCGTGTATCATTTTAATTTTCTAAATTAATTATTGTTTTACAGCGATAGTAGTGAAGGGGAGACAACTCGTTGAAAAAGGTGACGAACTGAAACTGGTTTGTAATACCACCGGGAAATTCCGAATGCCTGATGACGTTAACTGGTACAAAGATGGTCAACCAATTAATTCTTCTAGATTTAGTCACGTTGTTGTAACGAACTATCGGTCATTAGGGTCAAGGACGTTAGTGAGTGTTTTAAGTGTGAATAGGTCAAGGACATCTGATAGCGGCGAATACATATGTAGAAGTTCATTGGCTGAAATTGATAGTATAAATGTCACGGTACAAACAGGTACGAACAATCTATCTATTCTTGTCATAAATTATTGTTTTAATGTCTAGCCATGGGGTAGTACTTAGATAACAACATTTTAATAATTCAAAACTTAGAGGAAAAAAAACTGTTTCTTCCCATAATTATTTGTACGGTATAAACACATAGGCATAATGTCATAAATAATGTCACATTTAACAACCACGTTTCAGAAATAGAACGAAATAGGATGTAACGTCCTGTAATGTGTCAGGAGGGAGGTTTTGGCCGAACTGCCGTGTTTTCGTCTACTGTTCATTCATTTCAGTTGGATTTTCCAACCTGTTTATACCATTGGCAGCGCGTTAAAGATTCCCTACGTGTTTGGAATGGAAATAAGATTAGGACCTAGCGCCACTATCATAGCACACTGCATTGCATAGACCCGCCTTTATTAGTCTGATCAATCCAGAAAAGTAGGACGTCAAACCCCATTTGATTTTAGTAAATAGGCCTTTAGTAATAAATATTATCCGATATATCTACACAATAGTTCGAATAATTAAAGTTTTATTTTTATTTTACAGCGGACATGCCTAATGTTAAAAGAGGTAGGTTGTTTTTGTACATGTATTAGGGGGTTTGGATGGCCGAATGGTTAGCACGTGCGCGCTGTATCATAAGGTGTGTCATTGGTCAACTGGCGGGGTTTTGATTCCACGATTGTACGTGACAAGGAGTAGGGTTGCCTGTCCTACCTCGTGGGTTTTCCCCCGGGTCCTCCGGTTTCCTCCCACTGCTAAAGACCCCTACCCGCAAGCGAATTATTGAAATAAAATTGAACCATGTGTTAGTGCCGAAATGACCTAGTTTGTGTCGAGTGGACGTTAAACCCCATCTCTGTCTCTCGCTCTCTACATTCTACAAATCATTGCGGTGTATTTCTAAAACAAAAATACCATCATGATTTAACACGGAACATAACAATTTACATTCCCATTGTACTCAGAAACCATCAGGAAGGGTTAGTCAATAATCAGGCATATCTCCAAACCAAATGACTAATTAATTATTATTAAATCGATATTCATTTCAAAATAAATAAGACGATTGATATTTTGCGACTAGACCTGTCCCTCATGTAGTGATTGTTCATGTTAGGTTTATGGTTGTGGTGCAGCTATCCAACATCTTACATCCTGCACTTATCGGGATAATGAAATACGGAAGTCCTTTCCCTGACAGCCTCCGTCTATGTTTCATCGAATTCCAGCTGTCAAGATACGTACACGCCAACGTGGACTCTGTGTTCTGTATTTCTTACTATCAAAACGGCCAATCAGCAAACTCCTTACTCCACAATAACATCTTACTCTCATTCTTACAGGTATTCAAGGTGTACAGGGTGTATTCAGACCAATCAGCAAACTCTCTAACAGTGTACCCACATCATATTCTCTTCAATATAACATCTGTTTCGTCATAATCAGTTTTGTGGTCAGATGAATTATTCAATTATGAAACAAATTTAAATGTGATTGTGGAAAGTGAATCTTAAAATTACATTTGTGACGTACGAAACTATTCATTTCTTTGCTTTGTGTGGTTGCTACATTATTTTCTGAACTCGGGTGGAAATGGACCTAATCTTTTATAAATAAACCCAAGATCTCCATAGAGAGGAGTGTCAAACAATGATTGTCGTCATATTTGAAAGGATATTGTGTCGAATAATCAATGTTTTGATATTTAAAGGAGTGTCGACATAGTTAAAGGAGTGTCGTCATATTTAAAGGAAGCCATATTGAAAGGAATGTCACATAATCAATGACGTCATATTTAAAAGATTGTTGCGTCAATGGTGTGCTTTAAACTAAAGCAGTGTCGCACAAACGGCACATTGAAAGGTGTGTCACATAATCGATGGGGTCGTAATCAAAGACTTTGACCCATAATCCGTGACGTCACATTGAAAGAAATGTCACATCATCATTGACATCATATTAAAGGGATGTTACGTAATCATTGATATCATAGTTAATGGCGTTAAGTCACATTCGTTTGGCAATGGCTTGATATGTTACTTACTAGTCATTTCCGCGCTTTCCTGTAATCAGGAAATAACCTTTGATGTATTAGGCATTGATGTTTTAACCACCATAACAGCTCTCGTTTATAATGAGAAGTAACGAGACAACGTAATTAACTCGTATGATTGCTTCTTTTATGTTGACCGAAGGGATTTGCTCGAAGTCAAACATTTGACAAATTTAAATAAAAATGTATTTTTTCTGGTATTAGTATGAATTGTCGAGATTTTGGTGATGCAAATCTACAACACAAAAACAATGAAAAAGTTTCTTAAAGGAATGTGAAATGTGTGTGTGTGTGTGTTTGTGCATCGGTCCTCGCATTCATGTGTGTGGGTGAACCTGGTCTCACATTAATTTGTGGGTGTACGAGCTGTCTCGTATTTATATGTGTGTGTGTACCTGATATCGAATTAATGCGTGCGTGTACCTGTCTCGCATTAATGTGTGGCTGTACGTGCGGTCTCGCATTAATATGTGTGTGTACCTGGTCTCGCATTAATAATGAAGCATATTAGTCGGTTATGGTACAATCTTATTGCCTTGTCTAACAAAATATGAGAAGCCTATTTAAATTTCATTTTGTCTTTTATTTTAACGTGGACAGATAGGCTCTTTTAAGATTACTGAACGGAATAGAAATTTCCATTTCTTGTGTTTGGTTCTGTTTATATGTATACGTTCTGATCGTTAAACGTTTACTTTAGTTGGAAAGGTTAGTTCAATCACATGCTTAAAATGACGTCAGAAAGGAAGTGACGTAGGAGTGAATCTGAAATATTACCTTACTGTAAATGACGACAGGCTTTTTTCCTACGTCACTGCGCTATTCTGAATTCAGGAAAGGACTGACGTAGGAGCGATTCTGACGTATTAAATAATATCTTGCTTTAAATGACGTTGTCCCTACGCCGTGCCGCTATTTCGACTTCAGAAAAGGTGTGACGTAAGGCCGAATGTGACGTATTAGAGAATACTATCCAGTGTACGTTTTGAAAGGATGGTAGAGACGGGACAACGTGCTCTAAATGACGTCAAGCTGGTTCTAACGTCACGACGCTATTCTCACATGTATACGTTTTAGCATATTTGTGATTATCGATATTAATCGATGCAGATCCGACAATAATTTGCCAACAGTTATCTGTTAGATATCCATACATTTATTGTATTTTTTATTTTAGTACCTGAGTGATTTAATAAATAAATAAATGTAACACTTAAAACTTTCCTTTTTTTTGCTGTCTCTCAAGACAAAAAGTGAAAGAATTTATCCAGATGATTTACGACTTGCGGGAGTTATGAACTCTAATTTAGCCGTAATCACCGAGCATTGATTTATTCACTAAACTTTCTGTTACGATAAAATAGCCACGTCTGATATTTAGCAGTTTATGCAAAAACAACACGTAAACATCGTGCTTAACAGTTCACGGTTTATTATGTGATAATAGTGTTTATAATCTTGTTCACATTTATATGTAAATATTAATTATCTTGCACTAAAACATAGAAGGCAGCATGACTTTTGTATAAAACATTGATAAAGCTAAAATGGTCTTCTTTGTTTTTGTGTTAAATTTCATAAAAAGGAAATGCAAAGAAATGGGGTTTGGCGCACTAATTTTTTGCACCAACCGTTCTAATGAACACATGTATACATCATGCAGTGTCACTCGTATGTGAGAACTGCTGTCCAGGCAACAGTGCTAAGCCCCCGTCTTATTTCCATTTCCAACTGCCACGGCATCTTTAACGTGCTGCTAATGGTATACACTGAACCCCAGTGGTTCGCCCTCCATATGAACTATATGCCAGACTTCCCTTCCCTTCCTGCTCCATTGACAAGGACGAATTAGGCTAGGAGATATGGTGGAACATTCTCGGCCAAACCTTGACCTTCTCCTGAATTGTCCCCGTTACTATGTTAGCTAATCTTGACCTTTTCCTGTTACTATGTGAGCTACCCTTGGCCTTCTCTTGGATCTTATATGTTGCTCTGTTAGCTACCATTGGCAATCTTTTGATCTTGTTCCGTACTAGGTTACCGCCCTAAGCCTTCTCCTGGATCTCCCCCGTTACTATTGTTAGCTGGAGCCGCGGTGGCTAAGTGGGTAAGACACTGATTGGCATACACGTAAAATATCCTTTGACAGTTGGGATTCGATATTAGATAAATTTCCCCCATAGCGTACTGTATGGCGTATGCCCGTCTTCATTAGCCCAGTCGGAACAGAACAATAGGACGTTCAACCCCATTTCACTATTGTTAGCTACCCTTGACCTTCTCCTGGATCTTCCCTTCTTCTGGATCATCCCCGTTAGGTTGCTATTTACCCTTGGCCTTCTCCTGGATCTTTCCCGTTACTATGTTAGTTACTAACACTCTTCTCATCGATCTGCCCTGTGTTAGCTACCCTCGCTCTTCTCTTGGATGGTCCCCATTACTGTATCAGCTACCAACGACCTTCTCCTAGATCTGTTGGTATGTTAGCTACCGCTGGTCTACTCCTGGATCTATTGCTGTGTCAGCTACCTCTGACATTTTCTTGGATCTTGCTCGATACTATGTTACCGACCTCGACCTTCTCCTAGATGTTCCGCTCTCCTGGAAATGTTGCTATGTTAGTTACCCCAGGTATTCTCTTAGATCTTGCCCGTTACTGTGTTAACGACCTTGGCCTTCTCCTGGATCTTCAGTTACTATGTTAGCTACCCTCGACCTCCTTCTGGATCTTATCTGTTACTATGTTACCGACCGTTGGCTTTCTCTTGGATCTTTCCCGTTACTATTTTACCGACATTAGCTTTCTCATCCTGTCTGCTACTAAGGTAGTAACCCTTAGCTGACTCCTGTAACTTATCTGTTACTCGTTAACTACCCCTGGACTTCTCATGTATTTACTCATAACTGTGTTAGATACCCATGGTAAGAATGAGACTATTGCTGTATGAAGACGTGCCCGACATTAGATTGAAGTATTGAGTAAAATCTTTCTTTTAATCGACATCTTCTTAATCTGATATCCATGTCGGCAGATTATCTACCGTTGATATTGTGGTTTCCTGTACCTAATTAAATGTTAAATTATAATCAATTAAAGTACATTATAGCTTCGGTTAAGCTAGATCATCGCGACGAGCACATATCAAGTGTAACGGAGTTAGTTTAAAAGTCAAACCACAGTGTGGAATGTCGACCATATCACTTCGGTGGATGCAGACCTTAAATAAAGTTATTTAACACACACCTTTAATCTCAAGTGTTTTATGCCCAAATATAACACTTCAGCGCGCAGAGGTGACGTGGCCAATGTATATATAGTCTTAATTTATAACACATTGATGTAATCTGGTTTATGACCCAATGGCATGTAGTAAACCGTGATATTGTCTTTACGAAAGCGTCTACAGCTGTAATTATGTAATCGTACGAATTGTGCTCATGTTCTTTCTGAATCAAATTTAAAATTGTCATACAAGACGTCATCATTTCACTACTACGAACCTCCCACGTGACTATGAGAAAGCGCGTGTGTGTTTGTGTGAGAGAGAGAGAGGGAGAGGGCGTTCAATTCTATTACCCTCATTTCACTAATACGAACCTCCCAAGTGAGAGAGAGAGAGAGAGGAACGTCCACTCGACTTGCATTTCTATCTTTCGCTTGCTCGTAAGGCTCTCTAGCAGTGAGACGAAACCGGAGGTCACGGAGTAACACCACGAGGTTAGGCAGGGGACTCTAGATTCTGTCATGTACAATCTGGGAATCGACACCCTGCTACTTGACAGAACTTATGATCTAAATCGCACGGGTTAGACCATTCGGCCTTCCAATCTCCAATCCCGTTCAATGACAGCCATTATGATTTAAATCGCTCAGGTTAGGTCACGCGACCTCGACCCCGCCCACCCACCATGATGCTAAGAACCAATCTAATGGAGCATGATATTACGTCTAATCTAGTTACGTCTAATAGTGATAGTACAAGATGGAACCAGCGGTCAAGACAGAATACATAGACATGGCAAGAAATATTTTAATCAGCACCGGCATTCTAAAGCTCCAGAAGACCACACATTCTTATTATAGTCAGTGAACCCAGTGAAGTAATGGCCTATATCCGGTCTGGACTGTCTATCCTCTAGCGCTATGTCGACACAGCGCCGCTTACATCCGGGGCCTAGATCAATACCGGAAGGAAGTACGTCATCAGATACCAGACGATAATTAAAGGGAGGACGGGTAATAATTGACCGAGGGGTTAATTTGTAACAATTGGCCACCTACTGCAGACATGCACCCATCTTTCTTATTGACCTTGTTAAGGTAATATTTCTCATTAACTGTATTATATAAATGTCACTGATTTAATGTAAAGAATTATATTCTGCGGGACATTCCATGTTGAAGTATGAACAACGTCCTCAAGGCCTCACTTCCTTTAGATTGGGTTCATAAATGAAATGAAATGAAATGGAGGTATAACGTCCTACTTTTCTTCAGAGCCGGGCTAATTAAGTTAGCATCCGCCATGCAGGAAACTTGTGTCTAATTCCTACTGCCAAGAGTGAATGAAAATATATACACTGGACATTAGTTTTCGTCCCCTGAGACAGATCAGACACTGTACTTTAGCATCGATCCCACACCACTGAATCCCGAGGCAATCTGATTAAAATACAGATCTATATTTCGTTTCGTTTTTTTATACTTTCGACGGCCTACACTGCATGAAGATCTGACAAGTTGTACTCGAAGGTCGTGTCAGGGTCGTACGAGCGGCTTTTGACCCTATGACGTCAAACATTGATTATTCAATCAGCGCTGATGTTTCTAGTGGTTCACCCACAGTTCCGTGCATGTCACGCCAAGAAGTCGCCGTAACAGACCGTTTCATTAGCTTATGCCTCATTTCAACCAAAATGCCGGTAATATAACAACTCTTTCAGATATTAGAGGAGTAAAGACAAGTAAAAGGATATTTTGAACTATAAAAAACGAAACGAAATAGGATTTTTGTTTTAATCAGATTGATCCCGAGGTAGCTTCTCGAAGAATACCGGGATCTAGCCGGTGAACCCCTTACACACCGAGCTACCGTGGTTCCACAACAATATACTATTATAAATGTAGGTCATCATATGCCACGCAGGGCGTTATGGGGGAAAGCTTTATCAGGACAGCGTCATTTCTTTCTATTCTTCATAAAATACCAACTATCAACGGGAGGTTTTGCATGCACTCCAGCGAGCTCTCGATTGGACCTTATTGATGCCCCCCTCCGCCATCTTCCTCCCGTACTGTACCACTGTCAAGAGGAACACTCCCTGGAAAATCCCTAGAAACTTTTTCGGCCAACACTTCGGCTCCATATATAACCAAACATACGAGAAAGCCTCAGTAGTCAATTCTTTTTTTTTTCCAGACTGGACATGATAAACCCGAAAAGTTTACGAAGAGACAAACCGTCCACAATTTGATGCCTCATATTATACAGCCCCATATCTATAGTAATAACATAAAGCTTAGGGGAATTTTCTTTGATGTCGATTCATAAAAGATATTTTAAAGCGCAATTTGTCACCAACACCAATGATTTATGTCATTCTGGTTTCTGAAGAGATTTAGCAAACCATTTGAGTTAGTATTCATCTGTGCGATTGCCAATAATTTGGGATTTACCAACTTCATTTTGATACAACTAGACGTATTAAATAAATCGGCAAGTCTGATTAATTTGACAAAATGAAATATTCTATGAAGCCACAGGAGTCGTAATTCAACTGCTGAAAACGTTGGCGTTAAAATTTGCAGACAATAATTAACAATGATTCCACTTTTGTTTTATCTGATCTATCTCGCAACTGGTTAAAAATGGTGCCTCGTGAGAAACCAGATTAAGTAAGACCATTAATGCCCTCTCGCCATTGACTTCTATGTTAAATCCATGACATTTCATGACCTATAACATTCGAATGATATTGAATCTGTATAACAACATACAGCCCAACAAGTCACAATCGAGTGATAAAAGAAATATTGAAATGGGGTCGACTAGCTCGATTGTTTTGTCTACGACTAGTCAAAGGAATGGATAGGCTGTGATGTCATTTTCGTAGGTGATTTCCCTAATTCACGTCGGCGTACTTCGTGATCCTATCAATTACAAATTATGTATATTAAAACCCGCTTCTCGATTTTAGATACGGAAGTCAACAAAAGTGTCGTTTTCGCCTACGCTTCTCCGAATTTTATCTCCCAAAAGTTCTTTAACGTCTTCAGTGACTTTGCTTGGAGATGATAATTGTAATATTTAGGGTTTAGTGAAAACGGCGTCATTTGAAGATACCAATCTAATATATCTCTATTTATATTATATATATCCATGCAAGTTCACGTGCAGTATTTAATTAATGCGTCTTCTATCAGACATCTACTGTGATTTATTTGAATTTGAATGTTTAATGAATTTTGGGAAGACTGACGAACCAACAGCTTCCGGAATGTATGAAC